ATATTTTAATAGAATTTTCTAACAGCTTTAAATACTTAATTTTCATGAATTTTCCCCATTACTAATTAGAAATCTGTTTACAAACTCTCAAATATATGGAGCTTTCCTAAAGATGCCTTTTATTTCGATTCTATCTTAAATCCATTGTAGTCAGAGAATGCTGTGTGTATTGTAGCAATCCTTTGAAATGCATTGAGACTTGCTTAATTTGCAAGTATAGGTTTTCATATTGTTCCATGTGATTGGAAAAATATTAATTTGACAATTTGGGGATATAGTGTACACAGAGTGCACATGTGTATTTTCAATACTTCAAAATTTCTACCTATCTCCTAGTATTTGTCTGCTTGCTTCCTTAATTACTGAGAGAGGTATGATTTTGAACTGTACTTTTTTTGTTGCTCTTATTTTTCTTTCATATCCTTCCTGGCAATTGCATTAAGTGCATACCAATTTAAATTATTTCACCTTCATGAATTTAACCTTTTATTACACAAAGTAATCTTTTCTCTCTCTTAATGGTCCCAAATAAACTTTACATTTGAGTCCTTTTTTAGGGTCTGCTTCTTGGAGGAACCTAAATTAAAACAGTTTGTCTCCCTTAGTATGTTGTAGCACCACAATAGCTAAGAATCCTACCTGTGGTAAATTGGTATTGGGCCAGGTAAGGAGATACACTCACTTACATCATCTTTAGAATGACAAGAGAGATGGGAGTGGTGCTAATTTATAAGGACTGTGGAATAGGTCGGTTGTTGCTAAGTGCAATCAGTGCAAGGATGGAAGGCAATCAAGCTCAACTTAGGCAGGGTGTCAGAGGACTCCCTGGCATTTAAAGTGACCCTCAGCTTATGCAGCTAAAGGACAGACTGTGCTAAAAAAACAAGCAGAAGCTACAAATACTACTGAATTGATAGCTCTCACAAATATACTATTAAAATCAGGCACTAATAGTTAAGGAGGGACCCTAAACACAGGGTGGGAACATTTGGATGGAAATGCTGTGAACTCTGAACCTTGTATTCTTCTGAACCCTCTGGGTTAGTGGTCCATCCTCTCTTGCTGATGGATAACAGCCTTCCTTGCTTGGAGACCATGTCAAGGCCTCAACTGAAATGAATGCCTCCTAAGATAAAGTGCTTGCCTCCTCCAAGGTCTGCCCCACCTCCTGTCGTTTCTTCTAGCCCAATTACTAGGGTAAAACCTCTGCATGGCCCAGTTGGGTAAGTTGGGTCCTTGCCTTAGGAGAGGGATCAGCTGCAGGATTCTTGGCTAGTCTACTCTTCTCAGTAGGAATTGGGAGAACATGCCTGGGAATGAATTTTGAAGACCTAAGACTAGACTAGATTAGGGACAGTTTATCAATATGTGAGATAGTCTTCTACAATACAGGAACCTGGAGCTGATCCTAACTTGCTGCTGGATAGCTCCTTGAAGTTTGGAGGAAATGAACCATGGTCAGAGTAAATGAAGCAGAGGTGCTGGAACTGCCCTGCAGAACAGAGGCAGGGCTCAGGAAGTTGAAAGTGGCAATGCTATTGGGATAGATTTCTAATTTATGACCAGAACACCCACCACCTATGTGCCATAGACACGTCCTTCACGAAAACCAGAGTGAATGCACTAGTCGGTAAGCTGTGCTGTTGAGAAACTCTGTAGTGGTTTGAAGGAGAGTTGATAATAGGGGACACTGATATGGAATTGTTTTCCCTTGTGTGAATGGATGATAGGATTCTGGAACATCAGAGGCCAGGTGACAGCACTTAGCTGTCAGCAGCAAGTTAGTTATTACCATAATAGGCAGCAGGGAATGGCAAGGGAGGAGTGCAGCCCCATATGGATCTGTAGAGATGGCTAAGTACCATGGCAGGATAGGGTTAAGATAGATGGGCAGCTTGATTGTTCTAATAATAAAACATTAAGATCAGGTGATGTCAGCTGCTGCAAGTGTGTGTGTGTGTGTGTGTGTGTGTGTGTGTGTGTGTGTGTGTGTGACCATTTTTCATTCATCCTTTCAAGATCTAAGATCTAAGCCTATTCTCAGACCTACAGATCACAGATCAAAGGAGCGGCTGGGGCACTTAAGGAAGGATAGTAGGATGCCACATATATCAAAGGGATCTTTAACCATTTGCCAGTGTCTATACACTGAAGAAAGGGAATCATGAGTATCCTTTTAGGACTACCGGATATAGAACATTGCTTTTGGTGTAAGATGGGATTTAGCAATTTTCTGTAAAGGTTCACATAGCAACTATTTTAGGTTTTGTGAGCTATAGGATCTTTTTACAACGAATCCACTGTGCCATTGTCATGTGACAGCAGCCACAGACAGTAAGTAAACAAATGGTGGCTATGTTCCAATAAAACTTCATTTACAAAAATAGGCAGTGGGCAAGATTTAGCTCATGGGCCATAGTTTCCTGGCCTTCAGCCTTGGATGTGGTCAACTTTCATGAAAATTCTGTATGCACTTGAAAATAATGTAGCCCTCAATTTTGGGGTTCATTACTTTGTACTTTGAACAGCACATTAAATTATGCTGTTCAATTTCTCTAGATCTTACATTTTTGGGGTCTGCTTTATCCATAAGTAACTGGATGAGTTTAAAAAAACTCCCTCTATGGCCATTTGTCAAATTTTGCTTTATATAATTCGAAGCTATGTTATTAGGGGCAAACAAGTTTAGCATCTTTATTCTTCCTGGTTAACTGAAACCCATGTCTTCTTGAAGTAATCTTCATTAACTCCAGGAGTAATTTTTGCCTTGCGCTATACTGGTTTGAAGTTAATATAGCTACATCAGCTTTATTTTGGTTAGTGTTTTGATAGTATATATTTTTCATTCTTTACTTTCAATCATTCTGTGCCTTTATATTTTAGTTATTTTCTTAATAGCACAGGTGACAAATGAAAATTCTGAGCTTCTTGGAAACCTAAGCAAGTGGGAAAATATTTGCCAAAAAGATGCAGTCAGGTAATCGGCAGCCTATCTGCTACTTTTGATAACCTACGTAAAATCAGGTATATGGGGCATTAGGGGGCATCAAACAGGATGAGGGAGGCTTTGAAGGCAATTTTACCCACTAACACCTCAGAGGCTTACATAACACATTATTGGAATTTTATCAGTTGCTCACAATGATTACTTCATAGTAATTAATAGGACTTCCAACAAGTAGTAGCTATTTATATTAATACCCTGAAGCAATAAGGCAGGAAGAAATGACTAGGGGTTTCCAGCCAAGTTGCTTGTTCCTTGATCATACCAGAACCTTTCTCTTTGCTCCTCTAGTCTTTACTCAGTGTTGGTTTAAATAGCAGGTCACTCTCTTTGCTGAACTCAAAGTGACTGGAACCCTAGGCACTAAAAAGGGATGTTTTTGAGGTATTAAAGTACCTTGTTTTCGAGGAGGTAGAAAAGTGTCACTAGTGTCAAGAGCTGCAATGACCAGCTTGCATGACCTTAATAAGGGCCTCTACCATCTCTAGGCTTCACTTTCCTTATTGAAAAACTAGAAATGATTCCTCTTTTCAAGAGTATGCGGGTTAAAGAAAAAGGCAAAGATGCTTGCATAGGACTTCAACAAAATGCTAAATTGTTTCCTTCCCTCTGCTCTGAGCAATTCACTGGACAATGGCATTCCTCTCAAAAGTGGTGGCTTGTGAAAATCATCACTTTCAAAGGAACGGGCAAGTTCACACTGTTCATGCACCCCTCCAGAGCATGCTTCTTGGGATTTCAGGCAGGCTTTGCCTCAGACTTCAAAGAAATAGAGAAGCAAGAGCTTCTGAGGTCTAGTTCACAAATGAAGGATCCCAAGGTACATTTGAGTCTGTCAGAAGTCCAAGATCATCATTGTTTAACAAAGTTCTCTGCCCTCAAGCCAGATTTCTCCTCTAGTCTTGAGCTGCTTCCCTAGCACAATGAGCCAAGATGCAGGCGCCAAGAGTCCAGGCTGAACTGTCAAAATGATCATCTTTAAGGCCACACAACGTTACTAGTCATGACTCTTAATAAGCTATCCTTTCTGGGCCTCAGTTTGGGGGAATAATGTCACTGGAACTACAGTGAGAATTTTAAAGTACAATGTATATATACATTGTATCAAAAACACTTGGCACAGTGCCCAACAGACAGTAAACCCTTGGGGAATCCAAAGTTTTGTTATGCACATGTGCTGCATGCACCTGAATCATGAACCCCATGGTGATGCGGAGGACAGGGTCGGGAGTTATAGCTCAATGTGCAATCCAGCCCCTAAGAACGTAAGTAAGTACTGTGTAGGAAAGCCATGCTCTATTTATATCTGTACCTTATCCTCTGCCCTATCCCTCATTCCTGGCATGTGCCCAGCAAGTTGGGTTAACAGCAACAACAAACACTCAATGGTTGGGCTGGTGTGCTAAGGCTCAGGGGACTTGGCTTCTCAGGGTAAGTCTGGGATCCACAGACAAGCCATTCTGCAAAATTCATGTCAACTTTAATGAAGCACTAAAGAGTGAGATAGGCAGGTAGACTGACTGACTTGTGGGCATTTTTAAAGAAACCATGTTAGAAAGGCTGGGCATGGTGGCTCACACCTGTAATCCTAGCACTTTGGAAGGCTGAGGCAGGTGGATCACGAGGTCAAGAGATCGAGACCATCCTGGCCAACATGGTGAAAATCCATCTCTTACTAAAAATAGAAAAATTAGCCAGGCATGGTGGTGGGTGCCTGGGACGCTAAGGCAGGAGAATCACTTGAACCCAGGAGGCAGAGGTTGCAGCCAGCCAAGACTGTGCCACTGCACTCCAGCCTGGGTGAGAGCAGACCCTGTCTCAAAAAAAAAAAAGAAACCCTGTTAGATGTAACAGCTAAAGTTCCAATTATCAAGTTTGGTGGACAGCTTCAAAAGGATGAAAGCTGCAACCTCCTTTACGCTGTTCTTCATATCATCACTCACAACACATACTTCATTTCATTCTTAACAACATACACTTCTACAGATAAAAAAGGTGACCCACACTTTCATTTTCTTTATTTTTCATTGATACCGTATGAATACAAAGTTTCTAGAAAGCTACAAAATGTCTACCACTTTATCAAGAAGGCATCAAAATGTGTCACTTTGCAAAGACATGAAAACACCTGCAGGAACTGACACAAAAATAGCATTTTTAGAGTGATGAAATAATTGCACTTAACTGTCATGGATATTAAAGTTATCACACATATGTACCGCAAAAGCTAGAATACATTTTTTTTTTACAAAGCACTTTATAAAAAAATTCTCTGCACACAAATCCTATAATTTTCATATAACTATCATACTAAAGATAAACTCACTTTAAAGCCAACACTTAGAACATTTTAAAACAAAAAGGTACCAGTACCTAAACACAGACGTTAACAAATACAAGAATACTGTACTGCCAAGAGGTTTAATCAAATGCCTTTTGAGAGTTTCTGCAAATAGGTTAAGAAAACGTGTGAGAATTTGCCCATGCCCACCCCCATCTCTTCAATCTACCCAAGAGGAACCCAGTAACCCAAAGGCAGGTTCCACAGCCCACTCCCAGCAGCAGTACAATATCAAAGGAACCACTGACCAGATGAAATGCTTACGTCACAAGCCCATTTTATACACGTGACACGAAGACACAGACTGAGAGAATCCCATTAAGTCATTTAGAATGTGAACAAACACACGTGGCAAAAACCAGTTAACATAAAATTTAAGTGTATTATTGAAGAAGTAAAGGCTATTCAGGTTTCTTTCTTAAATGTTACAAAAATTTTTTTGTCATTTTCAGGCACGTACTGTTTTTGTTTTTACTTTTTTTTTTTTTTTCCTTGTCTGCAGTCATGAGCCTATTGAAAAAGGCCTACAGAAGTAAATCTTTCAAGGAGGTAACAGGGAGATGTTTTTTGTTTCATGAAGGAAGTGCAGTTGATACCTAATTTACACAGTGAAACTAATGACAGAAAATGACTAATGAAAAAAATCAGAGACTGGTTTCTAATTGATTAACACCTAGATCTGTCGGCCTCTCTTAGAGAAAGGGGAAGGAGAAACCATCTCATCATGGAAGGCAGACAAAAGAGTCAACCTGAGAGGGGTGGAATCTAATGGAATCTGACCCCATTTAATGATGAGCAAGAGGAAACAAAAGCCATCTCCTACTAACACGATGTAGTGTGGCACGTGAGTGACTCAATGAAAATTCACAGAGTAAACGAAGTTACGTAGGCATAGGAAGTAGGACAATAAATACAAATGTTTCATCTTATTTAACGGTGCATGACTTCAGTGAAACTACCCTTTGCAATGCAGTAAATTTTAAACACAAACCTTCATTCTTAATGATATAAGCAACGACTTTATGAGGGAAAACTATTGTCAAAGCACAGTAACAGTTGAAAAGAGAAGTGGGAAAACGGCATTTGACTAATTTCTTCCACACTGTGGTATAGTGCTGGCAGGTAGGAGTTGAGAAGCAAGCAGCTAACTGTAACTTAGGTTCAGTACATTTTCATTTGATAGTTTTTGTTTGTTTGCACAAATTTCTATAAATACTCACAACTTGGAGTGGCTAGGAATCATTCCTAAAATTTCAGAGCCCAGAGAGGATATTCTTAAAGACACCAGCTAGAGACAGACAGAACATATGTATTAGGAGTTTAGAGGCTAATTTTCAAAGATGTTCAACTAATGTTCAACTATTAGTCGAACACTAATATAAATGTTATTTTTACATTTATATTAGCAAAGAAAAATCTTTTGTTCCTGGCTTTTTGGCTGGTGTTTGGCCTTCTTGTCCTTTTCACTCCTCTTCCTTACCTCTATCAGTTTTCCCAATTTCTACAAGGTTTGGATAAAAGCCAACAAAGCCTTTAAAGAGTTGTCCCTTCGGGGGCTGGAACATTCTTTGAAAATGCCAAATTGTGAATGGTGCTCTTTGGAAGTTTCTCGTAGCACATTCATACACGATACTTGGAGTCAATGTTTGCCCTAAGAACACTTCAATTGTAACAACCCTAACTCATTTTTGTTTTGTTCTGCACTGTAGTCTCAGTTTGAGACTTCCAACTTTCAAAATGGTATCATTGTGTAAACCAGATAAGTGCGCACTGTCATTTGAATGGAAAAGAAAGTCTCCACAGAGACTGAACATGAAACAAGGAGAAGGAGAAAGCTGTAATATCTGTCCACCGGCCAAGATTCTGTCGTTTGTGCGGAAGTCCCCTCATCCGGACGCAGGGCTGGGTGACAAGGTGAAATGACACACTGGGTCATCGGCACACACAAACACAACAGTTTCTGGGGTCCTTCCGCTGCAGTGTGCTATGGATGGTGGGGGGTCCCCACTGGCAGACAGACTAGCAGCAGGCGGGGACCACATCGTGCTCTTGTGAACAGAGGCCTGTGGTTGGTTACTCATCCCGGTAAACCAAAGGCATTACGGTGATCTCAAAATATTTTTGGTCTCTCTACAAATTATCGTTATTATGGCAGCACTTTTCTAAGCTGGAATCTCAAACCAAAGGCACTTTCATGCTAGAGTGCAGAAGATTCACAAATAGCTAAGTATTTGGTCATGAATTTAAAAGGCAACATTAAAAAGTACAATTTGCTTTTCATAGTAAACTATGAAGTTGCAACATTTTGTTTTGGTATATACATTTGAGAATGTGGTGAAAGAACTGACTTGTGTCCCGTTTCAGATTTTAGACCAAGTAGTCAGTTTCCTATAGAACTGGAGAAAAAATGGGCTTAAAAAATATAAAATGAAGACAATTTTTGCTTGTTTTGTTTCCAATATTGGGCCAATTAGTAAATGAACATTAGGAATCAGTGTAAGAAAAGGCTGGCGGCATGACTAGGGTATTACTAAGGCACTGCTTACGGGAACGCTTTGGCAGCTCTGAATTGAAAACTTCCTACAAAAGTAACAGTAAGAGAAATGCTTCCAGCTTACAAAAGGGCTCGCAGTTCCGAGGCAGCCTTTTGCACTGCATACCCTACATGCAACATCTTGAAGATTTAAGGCTTTTCAGAAATGCCATGTGCAGGGCTTTGCCACAGAAACATCAACATAATAAAGAAATAAGCAATGCAGACGTATCCTCCTAATGTCACAGGTGTGAACACCGACAAACAGAATTAGTTCTACCCTTTGTTAGTTCAGGTATAGTGTACCAGCGCATACACAAAATTACACAAATTAGTATGTACCTGATTTGTAAAGTTGACTGTCATCTCATATGATTTAAATAATTTATAGTTGCACAAAAACAACTGCTAAAGCCACCACAGTACTGAAACCTTAAGAAGACTTGGGTTTAAAAGTCATTGGGGGACTTTTGACACCAAGTACTTGGAACGGGGGCTGTTTTTTGGCTGGTCTGAGTGCAGGACCTTGCTGCTAGGATGCTTACCAAACAGAAATTTGACTCAGAGCCTGTGGCTAGGGAATTGTCCTCAGGAAGTAAAATGGCTCACCAGCTTTCCTGCCTGTTTGTGGATGCCTCAGATAGCAATGGTGGGACAGGACAATTTGGCGCGGGAAGCAGCATCGGTGAAGCTGTGCTCTGGCACAGGGGATCCTGAATCTCCCTGTCTCTCCTAAGCTGACCTGCCCACACATTCTGAGGGATTGTTTAAGCTTAGAGCACCAAAGAATAGCAGCCTCCCCCAAGAGAGGCCAAGGATCAAAGTGGCAGGAACCCCAGCCAAGTGTCACCCTTTTTCTGTTACTAACCAGCTGGGTGACTCTGGACATGTCACCTCCCCTCTGGCTCTCAACTTTCTCATCGACAAAACGAAGAAGGAAAGTAGACTGTGCTCTCTTTCAGCTCCAGAGAGAAAAGTTCCCTAAGCCCTCATCTGGTGTGAATCCCTCCATCCTCCACCTCTAAAGGTGAAATGTTCCAGAGGTTTAATACATTTACAAAACAGCAATGATTTTAAGGAAGAAACTAGAAGAAACCCAGAGGAAATATGTTGAAATAAGTAAAGGTTTGATAATGAGACCCATGAGAAATAAGGAAATTGCTGAGGCTTTTTTTTTAACCCCAGTAAACTAAGGAATGAAGCTGAAATCAGAAACACTCTTTAAACAGGTGTGAGTTGATTAAAGAGATGAGGGTGACCTGCTGTTTCCAACTTCCCCAGGGCTGAGTGAAAGAGTACTTGTAGGGAGAGAGAAATTGTTGTGAAACAGAAGTTTTGAAACAGGAAGAAACGTGGACACAATGTCACTTAATAGTCCTACCTGCCTCTTGATGACATGAAACAAGGCTCTGGGAGAGATGGCTGCAGGGGTAAAATGAAAGGAAAACAGTTTCAAATGTGGTCATTGTGACCTGTAAGATCTTGGGCAAGAGGTCTCGACTGGGGATCATTTTGTACCTGATGGGATATTTGGCAATGTCGGGAGACATGCTGGGTTATGAAACCTGGGGGAAGCGGTGCTAGTGGTACTACTGGGTAGAAGCCAGGGATATTAGTAAATCTCCCATAATGCGCAGGACAGCTCTGCAGAACAAAGAATTAGCCAGTCCACAATGTCAGTGGTGTCAAGGTTGAGAAACCTTGGACATGCTGGAGTTCCGGGACATGTGTGAAGAAGCCCTGGTTTTATTCTCAGCCTCTAGGAGGCAAATGAATGCCCACAGACCAGAGTCCCATTTGACAGCTCCCCCATTTAGGCTGTGGAAAACTGGCCCCCACGCTGCAGTGAAAGCGCAAGATGGCCGTGAAGCAAGCCTGGCACCAGAGGGTCTCGAGGAGGTAGAGCACCTGGAGGAGTAGTGAGGACTCTGGGAAGGCTTCTTTAGTATGCTTTAAAAAGCTTTTATAACAAAGGGAGACTGCCGTACAGAATGAAGGACAAAAGACAGACTCCGATTGGATGTTGTGATGCCAATCTCACCCAAGGGTCTAATCTGAGAGAGAGAGACAAAGAGAAGCCCACTGGGATGATGGACCAGTGGTTAAGACAGGGAAAATATCTGTCCTGGAGGAAGCTTTAGAAGAACAAGATAAGAAATAAACTTTTAAAAATCTTTTGATGTTGTAAGAGCAAGGAGGAAAACTTCAAGGTCAATCATAGAAACCCAGAAAACTCAACTGCAAAGGCATTCTGAGCAAGAGGATACAGGTGGTAAAGCGCCAGGGCACCCAGCTGACCCTGTGAGGTCAGCAAATGGGCTGTGTCCATCTCTGCACCAACTGAGTTGTCCTCTAGCTGGTCTTCTTGGGTCCCAATATTTTTGTGCTTTGAAAAGTAAATCCCAAGAGCCTGTCTGGCTGCACTGAAAAGTCCTATTCCTGAATAGAATATGAACCAGTTATCTCTCCCACTGAAGTTCTAGGATGGCTTGGCTTTTAGCCATTTGTATTTGCCCGGTCATATACTCCTGCTCCTGGGAGAGGATGGGGCTTCCCCTAAGGAAAGATGTAGGAAATAAGAGCAAAAGAAACATCCCTAAGAGGGGTGTTTAACAAGTCATTGTAAATGTGATGACTGTGAAAGGGGACAACTGGGGCAGTCCTTCACAGGGCAGCCTGGAATCAGAGAACCAATAGTAGTCTCTTTATGACGGGCAGAGAAGCACTGTCCAATTGGGTTATAGAAGAACGGGCATTCCAAATGGGGACAGTTTTGCACTTTCTCTTCTGGTCTTCCCAATGACCAGGGATGCATTTGGGAGAGGTCAGGCTTAGTCAGTGTTTTGGTGTTTCCCATGAGCCAGGTGAACATCTTGCTCAGGACCACAAGATGTTGACTGATGTATTAATACAAGCAGGGTCAAAGCAGGTGTTGAGACAGGGAAGGGGGCATGTAAGTTACTTGGTGGCGGCAGAACTAAGTTTTTTTATTTTCTAGCTTGGTGGAAAAATCTTGACATGTTTTAGAAACTACGAAACTTATTTCATGTTCTATTTGGTTCATATATTCCTATCACTTATAAAAACCTTTTCTTTGGGAAGTTGGAGGGAAAGAGTACTTGTAGGGAGAGAGAGAGAAATTGTTGTGAAACAGAAGTTTTGAAACAGGAAGAAACGTGGACACACGTTTCTCCCTGTTCTCTCCCCAGTGAAACACTTATGGAAATAACTCAAAACATCCAGGCCACATCTAACCAACTCTGTCTGGGCAATGCTCTGGAATACTTAGATTGGAAAGTTGAATCTCTTCTGGCAAGAGAATCTCCCAAATGAGCCTATTATTTGAAAAAATCAGAGATAGGTAGCTGGGCCTCTTAAACCTAAGTCAAACAAGAACTGTAACTTACTGAGAGATGCTAAGGAAATGAATGTTCTTAGAGAGGATGTATCTAAGTCTACAGACACAGACTGAGAAATACATACATATCAGCACCTAGCAACTGAGTGACACTAAATAAGTGTTCACTAAATGTGTTGAATAGAACTATATATGCATGTGTGTATATGTATACAGATACACACACACAGACCTCTAGTTACAGCAGGTTAATATGCATATTGGGTCACTAGAAATAAAGAATGTATCCACAGGCTAGTGAGGATGCTTACAGTTTTCTGCAGAGCAGAGATGCTAAAACTGATGAGCCTTTTACTTGTCTGTTTGATTAAATTTTTTCCTAGCCACAGAATTCTCTATACTTTGCATCTCAAAGTGCAGTATTCATGCCAATTTAAAAATTTTGTTATTAAAATTCAGTGGTTCAAATATTTACTCAGCGTAATAAAAAATTTGGTTGTCCATATAAAATATAACTGCACACACAAGACTATAAACATTGTAAGTTTAGATTTTTTTCAGTATGTATCTACTTATTGCAAAAAGAGCCATCTTTTCTTTTTCATTAAATAATCACATTAGTACAATACAATTTTATATTTTTAAATATACTATATATGTTAAGGGTAAGGGGTGAAGTTTTCTTCCTTTGTAATACCTGTTCAAGAGTTTAATGGATTAGGAGATTAGTGTTAACCTTGAGGAAAAAAGTACAAATTTGTCTCATTAGGACACTTCTACCAAGCGTTTCTTAAGGCTATAAGTTTAACATTTGGTTTCAAAAAGAAAAAAAAAAGGTTTCATTTAAAAAATAATTTAGTGAATTACATTCTTTCATAACTTCCACCCTAATTAGTTACAAAGATAAGTCTAAAGATTCTTAGTTTTGTGTACTAATTTACATTTATATTTAAAGATTAATTTTACTTGTATCTTAAAACAAGAATTTTACGTTGGAAAAAAGAGAACTAAATACATTTGTATAAAGGCTGTAAATGTCCCATGGCAAATGCTCTGTCTCAATATTTTCTACCACAATTAGAAACAGGGCTCTGCAGAGAGAGACTTGGGTTGTTCAGGTTCACCTTTCCCGAGGAATTGTGGGCTGCACATTTGAAGAACATACAGAAACAACTCAATTTCTCTTTTTACAACTGTACCAGAACTTCACAGCTACAATGATAGTATGAACACATGAAAAAATGACTTCACTCAAACAGGATTTAGAAAAGTTGGGGTGACCTCGGGGCCAGGGCACCACCCTGTGTGGTGAGGTTTACAGTCAGTCGTTTGATAATGGAGAGAGTGTGTATGTGCACATATGTGTGTGTGTATATACAGATATCTATATATATAAATAACCATGTTCAGTCCTTTACAAGCCTGTAAATATGATGTTGTGCTCCGTGTTCACTATTTGAAACTTCAAACACACAGGCCATGCAGAGGAGAGTTTCTTGCGTATCCCTGTTTGTTACCACCTGTTAAAATAAAAGAAGGTATATAAGGATAATTCCACACCAATAAAAACATACTCCATCTGTGCAGGCCGACCATGACTTAACTGGAGAAGAATGAGTCTTAAGTCCAACAGAGACTTACTCAGCCTCACTCTGTGTCCTCTAACAGATTCAGAACACCACAAGTGTGACCTGAAGCCCATCTAAACTTGCCTATCATAAGTAAGAAATACCTTCTAGATGGGGTCTCACTCATAATCTATGACCAAGAAAAGATCACAATAATTAGTGCAGTTTGTGTTTCTGGTTTTTAGGGGGCTACAACAAAGAGAATTCTCTTTAATTCTGTCCCACAAGCCAATCATTTACTCTAGGAAATTGTCTTATTTTTTATCTGAATTTTTTAATTGAAAAGTAATTAATTCCAGTCCCTACCTAAAAAATAAAGGCAATCATCTTATTTTTTATCTGAATTTTTAAATTGAAAAGTAATAATTCCAGTCCCTACCTAAAGAATAAAGTCTTACAGTACATATATTTATGGGCTGCAGTGTGATGACAGAAGTATATATTGTGGAACGATTATATCAGGCTAAACAACATACCAAGCACTTCACATACTTCATCAGAACATTTAAAATCTACTCTTTTTCCCATTCTAGTCTTAAACTTTTGCTAAATTTTGTTTCACAATAACCAGTGACAGACAGAAACTGCAGGAGGAGTGCCTCCCTCAGCACCGTATTAACCAGCAGTGCCTGGACCCAGCAAAATATCTGCTGAATCAAGGAGCAATGGGATGGGCAGAATGCCATGGAATGACATTCTTTCCACAGATATGGGCTTTATCTTTTAAAATGTCTTGTGAAATACTCATGCTTCCCCTTGAGTCTCTTGACTCCCTCTCTGTCTCCCTCAGACCTTGAGTTCTCCAGCCCAAATCACTGCAGCTCCCTCCACATCAGACAGTCCCTGACTCCTTCTGCCCTCACTCCGGTCTCAATTCCCCATGACATTCTCAGAACAACTTTCTAAGAGCAAATCTAATCAAGCTCAAACACCACCAAATGCTTCAGTGACTGTTACTTTTGTGTTTGATGATGCCAGAGCATTGTTTGAATGAAAACACTTTGAACCTGAGAGCCTCATCCAGTTCACTGTAGACCTAATTTCCCTCTAAGTATCAGGCTGCTGCTCCTATTTAGTTTCCCTTTCCATTAAGGCATCCAAGCTTCCTGTCTCTACCTAAAAAAAAAAGTCTTGTAGTACATCTCATTTCTCCATCACAGCATGCTATGCAGTCGGTAAACACACACAGGCATGTACAATTTGTTTTTCAAATGTCCATCTCATCCAGTGGAATTTAAGTTCCTAAGGAACAGGGGCCCTGATTCCCAGCAACTAGCTTGGGGACATGGCACACAACAGTCATTTACTATTTGCTGAATGAATGAAAATTCCCATCAGAATAGCCAACATATATTGAATGCTTACTATCCATTTACTCGGTACCAAATACTTTACACAGATTGTCTCATATGATATTATAATACCTCTAGCAGTGAGTGATCTTTGACAAGGAAGTAGCTGAGAGGTTCATTTGGTCATGGCTGCCTATTCACCATGCAGACAGCTCTCAACTGTTTCTTCCTCAGGAAGTCTTCCTCAGCTTCCACCAGCACTAGGTCAAATTCCCCTATTCTAAGAATGCCCCATGTCCCTCTGCGGGGTAGCAAGAGATACAGTTTTCATTCATTTTGTGATGACTTGATGCATGCCTGCCTCCCTCCTCAGACTCCAGGATGGCGGCCCACCTGCCTAGTTCACCACAGCATCCCGGCCCCTGGCACCTAGGTATGCACCCAGGAAATGCCCCTATTCTTGTTAGTCAGATGTCTGCTTATCCATAGAGGCAACATCCCTGAGAACCCCCTACCTCATCCCTCTGCACATCATTAACTTACAATGGTTTATTTACCTGCCTCTTTCGTTCTCAAGGACCATGAGTTGCTATGTGACAGGTACTAGGTTTTATTTGCATTGTATCCCAGAAGGCGGTACTATCTTTCCAGAGCTTAGCTGAATTAATTAAAATATTTCAGTGATAACCTCTGAAGTAGAGAGTGCAGATTTGACTGTTTTGTTTATAAATGAAGGTGAAACTATGGTCTGGAGACTAAGTGACCAAGGCCACAGAGGTAAGTCTTCAACTCAAGTCTTTTGATTTCATGACCATAAGATAATCTTGCAAATCTTGATTTATTTTGATCACTGGCTCTGTGACCTCAGGGTGGCCTGACATTCTTTATCCATAAAATGAGAATAAAAATGACCTCACAGTTTTATATGGAGAATTATACAATGTAACATTTACAAAGGGTCTAGCATAGCACCTGGTACCTCCACAATCTATTCAAACTTCTTGCAAGCCTTCTACAAAAGAATCCACTTGGCCCTCTTTATCTGCGATTCTGCACTTGCAGATCCAATCAATCTCTGACTGAAAATATTTGGAGAGGAAAAAAGACACAATGAAAATAATATAACAATAAAAATACAAATGTTTAAAATTAGTATAACTATTTACATACCATTTACATTGTATTTGGTATAATCTAGAGATGACTTAAAGTATAAGAGATTATTTGAATAGGTTATCTGCAAATACTACATCATTTTATAGAAGGTACAATTTCTCCTATTCATCAATTAGATGATTTTCATAATCCAAGAGTGCTGGCTTAATTTCAGCTTTTCTAAAACTAAACTATTATTTCTATTGACAGGCATTAATTCTCCATATTAAAGAAATTCATGTAGTTGCTTAATGACACATTTTGAAATTAACCTGCTAAGTTCTCTGGATGGCTGTAAAGTCTTATGTGCCAAGGGAGCATAAATGATATACAGTGATGAGTTGCTTAACAATGGGGACACTTTCTATGTGTCGTCAGGTGGTTTTGCCATGCAAACCAACATCAAAGAGTGTACTTATTCAAACATAGATCAGAAAGCCTACCCCACACCTAGGCTACATGGATTAGCCTATTGCTCTGAGGTTAAGTGTCTGCATAGCATGTTACTATACTGATTACTGTAGCCTATTATAACACAATGGTAAATATTTGTGTATGTAAACATTATCTACACATAAACTACAGTAAAAATATTGTATAAAAGGTTAAAAAAAAAAAAAGAAAGTTCACCTATATAGGTCACTTACCATGAATGGAGCTTACAGGCCTGAAATTTGCTCTAGGTGAGTCAGTGATTGAGTGATGAGTGAATGGGACAGCCTAGGCCATTACTGTATACCACTGTGAACTTTTGTACTATACACTTAGGCTAACCTACATTTGAAAACATAATTATTCTATATTACATGATAGCTACAACATCACTAGGTGACAGGAATTTTTCACCTCCACTGTTAATCTCATGGGAGCACTATCACACATGTGGTCCGTCCTTCACGTTGCTATGCAGTGCATAACTGTAGTCAGGTTCTGTGGGTAATAGGGGCTTTAATGTTTTTCCAGGCCACATTTATCTTAGCTGTGCCCTCTGAGGTAGAGTTTTAGGGAGTGAGGACATGCATCCTTAGCATGCAGAAATAGAATCAGCATTGATTTTTAACAAACTGCTAAGATTCCCTGCAAGAGAGGCAGGGAAGCTATTCATTCCTGCAGCTACTTAAGATCCTCAACAGATATCACACTTACCTTCTATGCATCTGACTGCTAAGGTGATGTATCTATTCTTAGATAGCAACAGGGAGCACCTATATGACAAGCGCCTCCTACCTGCCAGTTCTGCAAACCTTTAACTGCTCAATTTTCACCAAAGGGCCATTAAAGAAAGGAATACTAATCAATGTCATTAAAGAGCATGTATTCCAAACTTCCCTTGAATGTTGGTTTCTACATTTTAGAGGGCACATTTGTTAAGATTCTCTTTCTGGAACAAATGAAAATTATATGCAAAATTATGTTTGCCAGCTGTATGCCAATCATGTGTCTGTGAACTCTGAGAGTCCTTGCAGCTCATTTGCCAATCTCTTATAGCAATGGGTCTCAACCTGGCTGCACACTACAACTACAAGCAGAGCTTAAAAAATAAACAAAAAGTAGGATGTTGGGTCCCATCTCCAGGGATTGTTTTTATTCATCTGGGGTGGGGCCTAGGCCTTAGATGTTTTAAAGCTTCCTGGATGAATCTAATATGCACAGGGAATTTCTGTTTTTTTAACAATGGTATATAGGAGCTGGCTCCTACTGATTCATGAAAGTCATTGTTAAATATAAAGAAATTTCATGAGCTGAATAGCTACTGGTAGCTTGAAATTCCCCATGGAGGGGATATTTACACCACAGAAGTAGGCAAAAGGTATAAATTATGGTTTTGGGAAATTGGGAAAGAGCCTGTTTTTTTTTAAAAACCAGACCACTGCTGATTGAAAGCCGCTGTCCCAATGGAACCAGAAACACCAACTAAAGAATTCCTGCTCTGGATTCTAGTTCTTAATCCTAGCAACAGAAAGGAATAAAGTAGGCTCTCAAGGGGTATCCGGCCACAATATAGCTTTGTTGCCCCTCTTTTGGCAAGACTGTTTCCATCAAGTTTTGTTTTGGCATTTTTCCTTTAGTTTCATCAAGTCATGTTATTTTTTAAAATGAGCCTTATGAAACCCATTACTGCATATTTTCTGTTTTGAGGATGACATGTTCCTAACAACCTTCCGAAGTCCCCAAATAAAGGTCCCAGAAGAAACTTGTTTTAAAGTTAAGTATTAGGGGAAAACACACACAGAACTATCTGGCATTTGGACCTTCCTTTCCTTTAGCTGCCCATTAAAAGTTTGTTTTGAGATGGGGTGTCACTATGTTGCCCAGGCTGGTCTCTAACTCCTGGGCTCAGGGGATCCTCCCACCTTGGCCTCCCAAAGTGTTGAGATTACAGGTGTGAGCCACTGTGCTCAGCCTGGCCAGATTTTGTAGCCTATGAAGAACATTTTCCTACTCCTGGTCATTGCATTCCATGCATTCTAATTTCTATTTCTTTTGGTACTAAGAGCTTTTATATATTTTCCTGTCTTAATGCATGTAACTTCTTAGAAGGCCTTGGAAGTTGTCATGGAATGAGTCAAAGTATGTTTGAAATACAAACCTGCTGACTCAGCTTTTGCCTGATTTGCATACCATGTTGCTGCTGAGACTAAAACTTGGCTATCACTGCAATTACCTATGGAATTTTAAAAAATACACATGCTTGGGTCCTATCCTCAGGGATCCTGATTGAATTGAGCTAGGATGCAGCCTGAGTATCAGGATTTTAAAAAGTTCTCAAGGTCTTTCTACTCTGCAGCCAGAGATAAGAACATAGGACCATCACTTTTTATTATCCAACCGAATTCCAGTTCTGCCAACCTTAGAAACCCTAGCCAGATAAAACCCCTTCTCTTCTACAGACTTCAGCCCAAATTTTCCCTATGGATGCTGCAAATCCAACTGCTGACTGACCACTGGGAGCCCAATCCAACAACCTGGCCAATTCCCTTGGCCCAAGCCCAGGGCCTCCCAGGCCCACCCTCCTTACTTCCCCCATCAAACATCATGGCAGCATCTGCCCAAATAGGAAAGAGATGAAACCATTACCAATAAAATTGTGAAGTTTTCCAAAACACTGTTCATCATATATTTCTCTGGCAAGTGTTTGAGCTTGTGGATGAAGTTGATCATATATTCACACATTGGGGAGCGGTTTATTCGGTATACAAATCGGCCATTCTCAAACCTTGCATACTCCGTCTGTGAGGAAAAAAGGATTTGAGTATTTTTACACTTTTGACTCCAGAACACATGAAACAGGTATTACTGCCTATAAAAGCATTTTAGTTTTTCAACAAGAATTATCTGCTGTGTGCTATACTACTTAATTTAAAAAACATCTCCAAATTTACTGCTATACATACAATCCATTATTTTTCTGAAAATTAAAAAACTTAGTTGGAAAGATGACAACTTTAGAGTTGACAGATCTTTTTAGCAAAGGTCAGAAAAAAATATAACCGTCTAATGGAGATGGTTTACCTGGAGGTTATCTGTAAGAGCAGGCCCCAGCTAGTTACAATTCTTCAAAGGAAATCTCTCTTGATTATGATAAAGCCTCATAGGCTAACAACCAATACAGCTAATGTTTCTACTTTAGAAAAAAACTGATTATTTCTCATGGATCAGGAGCCCCTAAATGTCAGCTGTTTATGCATTTATGAGAAAAATTAGGAAAATGAGAAAATACTAGTGTATATGCAGTTTCAAGAACTCAAAAATAAGAAACAAGGTTATCCTAGATAACCTTGGATCAAATGGAATTAAGAAGACAATTACAAACTATCTAAAGAGCAATGAAAAGGGAAATACTTTACATTAAAACTTATAAGCCACAATGAAGCTACACTTGAAGGAACTTTAATGAAGCAGCCTCATGTCTTCATCAAGATGAAAATTTACAGAATAAAATACACTGCTTTAAAAAAAAAAAAAACCCAAACCACAAAGAAACCAAAGGAAGCCAGGAAAAGGAAATTAATAAAAGCTCAAATCAATGAAATAGAAATTTTAAGTGTAGACAGAATTTAAAAACTAGTCCTTTAGAAAGACAAAATAAACTCTTCACACAAGTTAAAAGGAAAAGAAAGTGGGAAAACCACAATTACAGTAGAAATTAGAAGATAACATAAGACATTATTTCATATAACCCTAAGGCACACACACACGTATGTACACATGTGCGCGCGTGCACACACACACACACACACACCCCTACACATGCATGGCAAAGCAAAGAAAACCCAGTGGATAGAGATGCTTTCCCAGAAAAATACAACTTGCTAACACTGAATCAAAAAGAAGAGGAAAATATCAATAAATAGATCAGTCATTGGGGAAATGACCGCAACTAACAAGTTTAGCAACTTAGCATTGAAAAAAGTGGAGACCACAAGGGATATAAAATTTCAGTTAGGAGAAATAAGTTCAAGAGATCTATTTGTACAACATACTGACTATACTTAATACCAAGTTACTGTATTCTTGAAAACTGCTGAGAGAAGATTTAAGTGTTCTCACCACAAAAACTGGAAAGCTATGTGAGGTAACATATGCTAATCAGCTCGATTTAGCCATTCTGCTGTGTATACATTTTTCAAAACATGTTATACACAATATATAAAGTTTTTATCAAATAAATAATTAAAAGTAGATGCTAAAAAAATATAAAAACCAAATAGTTTCAGGGTAAGTTTGACATAATCTTTCAAGAATAGTTATTTCCAGAAATCCATCCAAGATGGCTGATTAGGAGCAGCTCAGGATTGCAGCTCCCAGTGAAAGTGCAGAGGGTGAGTGGACGTCGCATTTCCAGACAGATTTTTATTGCCTACAGACCAGGAGATTCCCAGGTGGAGGAGCCCCACGGGTCGCCAGTGCCGCTGCTTTGCTGGCACCCCGGGGCGGCACTTCTCCGTACAAAATACACAGGTCCGGGCACCATTTTAGCTGGCGATTGGAGCTCCAGGAAGGCAGAGTCACCGATTCATATGATTAAAAAGGGGACTGAAACAGGGAGCCAGGCCAGGAGATTCCCCGGCCAAAATAAGCTGTGAATCTCAGCACTGCTGTTTCAGCAGGTGCAGTGGGTCGCCGCACGGGAAATCACACAGATCCCGGCACTTTTTCAACAGGTGACTGGAACACCTGGGAGAGAGTCAACCATTCAACTGAAAAAAGAGGCTCTGAGGCAGGGAGCCAGGTGATCAGGCTCAGCTGGTCCCACCCCACAAAAAAATAGCAACTGGAAACTCTCTGGGTTGAGAGTTTCAAAGCAAGCACAGCTGAACCCGGGAAGGTCCAGCTCTGTGGGGGAGGGGTGTCCACCATTACTGAGACACTCCACCACTACGGAGGTAGTCCGCCATTGCTGAAGCAGCCTGCCATCGCTGAGGCAACCTGCCACTACAGAGAGAGTCAGCCATTACAAAGGTGGGCCAGCTTTGCTGAGGCAGTTCTAACTACACCCATATAAACAGGACTGCAGGGAAGTTCACACAGCAGCTGGGTGGAGCCCACAGCAGCTCAGCAAAGGCTCTGCAGGCAGACAGTGACTAGGCTGCCTCCTCCCTGGGCAGGGCAGCCCTGATAAAAAGGCAGCAGCACAATGGAAACTCATAAATAAAGCCCTAACTCCTTGGGACACAGCACCTGAGGAAAAAAGAGAAAGGAGTTTATGAGTTCTTCTGCAGCAGACTTAAACGTACCTGCCCAGCAGCTCTAAATGAACAACGGAGATCACTGCTCAACACTTGAGCTCCTATAGTGGACAGACTGTCTCCTCAAGCAGCTCCTTGACCCCTGTATATCCAAAGAGTCACCTCATAAAGGAGAGCTCAGACTGACATTTGGCGGATATCCTTCTGGGACAAAGATAGCAGAAGAAGAAACTGGCAGCAACTCTTACTGTTCTGCAGCTGCTGCAGGTAATCCCCAGGCAAGCAGGGCCTGAAGTGGACCTCAGCAGTCCTAAAGCAGAGGGGCCAGACTGTTAGAAGAAAAACTAAGAAACAGAAGGAAATAACTTCATCATCAACAAACTGGACATCCTCTCAGAGACCCAATCTGAAAGTCAACAACTACAAAGACAACAGGTGGATAAATCCACAAAGATGGGAAGAAACCAGTGCAAAAAGGATGAAAGCACCCAAAACCAGAACACCTCTCCTCCTCCAAGGGATCACAACTCCTCACCAGCAAAGGAACAAGGCTGGATGGAGAATGAGTGTGATGAATTGACAGAATCACGCTTCAAAAAGTGGGTAATAAGAAACTTCTGTGAGCTAAAAGAACATGTTCTAACCCAATGCAAAGAAACTAAGAACCTTGAAAAAAGATTTGAGGAAATACTAATGAGAATAGACAACATAGAAAGGAATATAAGTGAATTGATGGAACTAAAAAACACAATACGAGAACTTCGCGAAGCATGCACAAGTTTCAACAGCCGAACTGACCACACAGAAGAAAGGATACTAGAGGTCGAAGATCAACTCAATGAAATAAAACGAGAAGGAGAGATTAGAGAAAAAAATGGTAAAAAAGAATGAACAAAGTCTCCCAGAAATATGGGACTATGTGAAAAGACCTAATCTACATTTGATAGGTGTACCTGAACGTGACAGAGACAATGAATCCAAGCTGGAAATTACTCTTCAGGATATTATCCAGGAAAACTTCCCCAACCTAGCAAGGCAGGCCAATATTCAAGTCCAGGAAATACAGAGAACCCCACAAAGATATTCCTCAAGAAGAGCAACCCCAAGGCACATAATCGTCAGATTCACCAGGGTTGAAATGAAGGAGAAAATGCTAAGGGCAGCCAGAGAGAAAGGTCAGGTTACCCACAAAGGGAAGCCCATCAGACTCACAGCAGATCTCTCAGCAGAAACCATAGAAGCCAGAAGAGAGTGAGGGACAATATTCAACATCCTTAAAGAAAAAGAACTTTCAACCCAGAATATCACATCCAGCCAAACTGAGCTTCATAAGTGAAGGAAAAATAAAATCCTTTGTGAACAAGCAAGTACTCAGAGGTTCCATCACCACCAGGCCTGCTTTACAAGAGCTCCTGAAAGAGGCACTATACATAGAAAGGAACCAGTACCAACCACTCCAAAAACATATCAAATGGTAAAGAGCATCAACACAATGAAGAAACTGCATCAACTAAGGGGCAAAACAGCCAGCTAGCATCAACATGGCAGTATCAAATTCACACATAACAATATTAACCCTAAATGTAAATGGGCTAAATGCCCCAATCAAAAGACACAGACTGGCAAATTGGATAAAAAGCCAAAACCTATCAGTGTGCTGTTTCCAGGAAATCCATCTAACACGCAAGGATACACAAAGGCTCAAAATATAGGGATGGAGGAAGATTTACCAAGCAAATGGAGAGCAAAAAAAAAAAAAAAAAAAAGCAGGAGTTGCAATTCTCATCTCTGATAAAATAGACTTTAAACCAACAAAGATCAAAAGGGACAAAGAAGGACATTACATAATGGTAAAAGGATCAATGCAACAAGAAGAGCCAATGATTCTAAATATATACGCACCCAATACAGGAGCACCCAGATACATAAGGTAAGTTCTTAATGACTTACAAAGAGACTTAGACTCCCACACAGTAATAGTGGAGACTTTAATACCCCATTGTCAATATTAGATGAACGAGACAGAAAATTAACTAGGGTATCCAGGACTTGAACTCAGACCTGGACCAAGCAAACCTAATAGACATTTTCAGAACTCTACAACCCAAATCCACAGATATACATTCTTCTCAGCACCACATCACACCTACTCTAAAATTGACCACATAATTGGAGTAAATCACTCCTCAGCAAATGCAAAAGAATGGAAATCATAACAGTCTCTCAGACCACAGTGCAATCAAGTTAGAACTCAGAATTCAGAAACTAACTCAGAACCGCACAGCTTCATGGAAACTAAACAACTGTCTCTTGAATTGACTGGATAAACAATGAAATGAAGGCAGAAATAAAAGATGTTCTTTGAAACTAACAAGAATGAACCAGAATCTCTGGGACACATATAAAGCAGTCTCTAAATGAAAATATATAGCAATAAATGCCCAAATGAGAAGCAAGGAGAAATCTAAAATTGACACCCTACCGTCAAAATTGAAAGACCTAGAGGAGCAAGATCAAAAAAACTCAAAACCTAGCACAAGA